TGACAGACGAATGTTTGAAAAACTTTCGGGTTTCTTCATCGTGAGTTTGCATCACACCTCCCTGAACAAAGCTCAAAAAACAAGAAGATCAGCTATAGCTGATTACAATTTTAGTTAAGCATCAAAGTACAAAAAGATGCCACAAAATTTGTACTTGAAAAATAACAAACCTGTTGGGAAAATCACCTACTAAACCAGAGAATAGAGAGACAATCACAAACACAATATTTACGTGGTTCGATCAAATTGATCTACGTCCACGGCAAGAGGGTGTTTCACTATATTTCTTTCTCAAATTACAACACTCGTACAATATTTGAGAACTCACTTTCTTTCGTTGTGTGGCTTTCACTCTGTCTCTCTACCTCCCCTTGCACTCTCTGTCTCTAGCTTTTAATTCACTCAGAGATTGAAAAATCAATCAGTAAAGAGTGATTGATTTATTGAGGGGATGAAATCACTTTGTCAACACCTAAAGAGCCTGATGTAGTTGACAAAGCCTTCCACCGAAAACTCTTCAGTCTGCCTCCATATTTGACCTCCAGTGATGTTTGGCCAAATTCAAGCCATTATCAACAATCTCCACCTTGGATTGAATTTTCAAACATCAAGAACTAGTGAGTCTTCACCTGTCTTGCAAATAATGCCCCAAAAGGGGCCACCTAATAAGTGCGAATGCCTCCCAAATTCAAGCAGTGCTTGAACTTGAAGGCCGGGATCGGTTTGGTCAACATGTCAGCTGGGTTATCTGCAGTATCAATCTTCTTCATCGTGATGTTTCTTTCAGCAGTTGCCTCACGAATGAAATGATATCTGACATCAATATGTTTTGTCCTCTCATGATGTGCTGAGTTTTTGCTTAGATGTATTGCGCTCTGATTGTCGCAAAATACAACTGAACTAGCCTCCGCTGTAGTCCAAGCTCACTCACGAGATTTTTCAACCAAATGGCCTCTTTTACCGCTTCTGCTGCTGCCATGTATTCTGCCTCTGTAGTAGACAAAGCAACTGTCGACTGTAGAGTCGATCTCCAACTAATAGCTGAGCCAGAAAGAGTAAAAAGATAACCAGTCAAAGATCTCCTTTTATCGAGATCACCTGCATAGTCAGAATCCACAAAACCTACAACTGAGGTTCCCAAAGTACTGCTATCAAAAACTAAACCCAAATCTGAGGTACCCCTGAGATACCAAAAGATCCACTTCACTGCCTCCCAGTGTGCCTTCCCTGGTTGAGCCATGTATCTGTTCACTACACTGACTGCCTGGGCAATGTCTGAACGGGTGCAAATCATAGCATACATAATGCTACCCACTGCATTAGAGTATGGAACTCGGGACATCTCCTTCTTCTCGTTCTCACTTGTAGGTGAATCTGAAACCGAGAGCCTAAAGTGAGGAGCTAAAGGAGTCGTAACGGGCTTGGCCTTCTTCATCCCAAAGCGTTCAAGTACCTTTTCAATATAGCTCTTCTGTGAGAGATATAATGTTCCAGCTTTCCTGTCCCTCCTGATCTCCATACCTAAGATCTTCTTTGCTGCACCAAGATCTTTCATCTCAAACTCATCATTGAGTTGTTTCTTCAAAATAAGAATCTGTGACACGTTCTTAGCAGCAATTAGCATGTCATCGACATATAATAGAAGATAAATAAAAGAATCATATCCTAGATGCATGTAGTACACACAACTATCATAAGTACTTCTTGAGTACCCATGACTAAGCATAAAATTATCAAACCTCTTGTACCACTGTCTGCTTCAGGCCGTACAAAGATTTCTTCAATCTGCAAACTTGATCTTCTTTACCTTCTGCGAAGTATCCCTCTGGCTGAGACATGTAGATAGTCTCCTCAAGTTCACCATGTAAAAATGCAGTCTTCACATCAAGCTGCTCAAGCTCCAGATCAAATAGAGCAACAATGACAAGCAATACACAGATGGAGGTATGCTTCACAACCGGAGAGAACACTTCATCATAGTCAATTCCCTCCTTTTGTCTATAACCCTTAGCCACCAACCGTGCTTTGAATATAGCATCTTCAACCCCTGGGATCCCTTCTTTCTTCTTGAAAATCCACTTGCATCCAATTGCCCTTTTACCCTTAGGTAATTGCATCAAATCTCAAGTCTGATTCTTGTAGAGTGACTCAAGTTCTTCTGTCATAGTTGTGGCCCAACGTCCAAATTCTCCGTATGAGACAGCTTCAGTAAAGTTTGATGGCTCTTGAATACTCATTTCTTCAGCTGTCGTGAGAGCATACGCTACTAATTCAGCATGTGCATATCTTTGAGGAGGTTTGATCTGTCTCCTCTCTCTACCAGTGGCTATGGAATAAGATTCTTCAGTCTCAGCATCATCAGCATCTGAGCCTGAATCATGTTGCTCTTCTACAGCTGTAGGAGCAAATTTTATAGACGACTTTTGAGACGTCTCTCCCTCGAGCTCCACCTTATCCATGGTCTTCTCTACATTTCCTGTAGACTCAACAGAAACCTTCACACGATCAAGCATATATCTTTCATTAAAAGTAACATCTCTACTAATAATGAATTTAGGAGAATCAGGTTTAAGACTCCACAAACGATAGCCTTTAACGCCATCAGCATAACCAATAAATATGCATTTCTTAGCTCTAGGCTCAAGCTTACCCTCTCTAACATGATAGTAAGCGGGACATCCAAATACCTTTAAATTTGAATAGTCATTTGGTTTACCTGACCATACCTCATTTGGAGTCTTGTGTTCAATGGCTGTAGAAGGAGACCGATTCACCAAGTAACAAGCTGTGTTAACAGCTTCAGCCCAGAAGCCTTTATCCAAGCCAGAGTTTGAGAGCATACACCTAGCTCTCTCCATCAACGTTCTATTCATGCGTTCTGCCACCCCGTTTTGCTGAGGAGTGTGCCTGACCGTGCGATGTCGTACGATCCCAGAATTTGAGCAGAACTGATTGAACTCACCACTGCAGAACTCTAAGCCATTATCTGTTCGGAGACGTTTAATCTTCTTTCCAGTTTGATTCTCAACAAGTACTTTCCACTTCTTGAAAGTTTCGAACACCTCGCTTTTGCGCCTGAGAAAGTAAACCCAAACTTTCCTGGAAAAATCATCAATAAACGTTAGAAAATAAAGAGCACCACCTTTGGATGGAACCTGAGCAGGTCCCCATAAATCTGAATGGATGTAGTCGAGAGTGCCCTTCGTCGTATGTGAGCCAGTCGAGAAGCTGACCCGAGTTTGCTTCCCAAACACACAATGCTCACAGAAATCCAGTGATGATGTATGGTCACCACAGAGTAAGCCACGTTTACTCAAAATAGTCATCCTCTTCTCACTCATGTGGTCTAAGCGCATGTGCCACAACTGAGTAGTGTCTCTATCAGCATCAGAAGACACACCTGCAGAGCCTGTCACCGTACTGCCTTGGAGAACTTAAACTGTTCACCTTACTACCTTTCATCACAACCAATGAACCCTTAGTAACTCTAAGAACTCCACCTTCGCCTGTGTAAGAACACCCAATAGAATCCAAAGAACTCAAAGAAATCAGATTTTTCTTTAAATCCGAGATGTGTCTCACATCTGACAAAGTTCTCACTATCCCATCGTGACACCGGATGTGAACTGTACCAATGCCAACTGTCTTGCAAACTGCATTGTTGCCCATCAAAACTGATCCACCACTTATAGATCTGTAAGTAGTGAACCAATCTTTATTTGGACACATATGAAAAGACGCACCTGTATCCAAGATCCATTCTCTATCGGAACGGCCATCCAAGGGACATACTGTAAAAACCGTCTCAGCAACAACGGCAGTATCAGCCTTTGCCGTATTAGCTGAATCTGAGGTTTCACCACGCTGGTTGTCTTTCTTTTTTAGAGCATAACATTCTGACTTGTAATGCCCTTTCTTGTGACAGTAGAAACACTCCACATGTTTCTTGTTTTGGGCTGATCTGGACTTCGAACGATTTCTAGATTGCCCTTTATCACCCTCTCTGGTCTTCGATCTACTTCTGGCTAGCAGACCATCAGCCTGCCTATCGGTACCTCTCCCGTTTAACTTTGTTCTCAACTCAGCAGAATTCAAAGAGGCATTTACATCCTCAAGACTTATGGATTCTCTTCCATACAACATAGAGTTAACAAAGTTTTCATAAGAGTCAGGCAAGGAACACAACACAATGAGAGCCTGGTCTTCATCATCAAGCTTAAGATCCAGGTTTTTCATATCCATGACAATTTTATTAAATTCATCAAGGTGTTCCTGAATAGGTGTACCTTCCTTCATCTTCAATGTGTATAGCCGCTGTTTCAGGTATAATCTCGTAGTAAGAGATTTCTTCAAATAGAGACTTTCGAGCTTTGACCACAACCCCGCTGTCGTTTCTTCATCAGCAACTTCACGAAGCACATTGTCGGATAGTGACAATTGCAAGGCGCTGTGAGCCTTTTCGTCCATCTCTAAGCTCTGATACCAGTTTGTTGGGATAATTTAAACACAAAGCCAGAAAAATAGAGAGACAATCACAAACACAATATATATTTACGTGGTTCGATCAAATTGATCTACGTCCACGGCAAGAGGGTGTTTCACTATATTTCTTTCTCAAATTACAACACTCATACAAAATTTGAGAACTCACTTTCGTTGTGTATTTCTTTCACTCTCTGTCTCTCTGCCTTTAATTCACTCAGAGATTGAAAAATCAATCAGTGAAGAGTGATTGATTTATTGAGGGGGACCACAAGGAGAAAGTGACATAAAAGACAATGACCTCTGACATAAAAGACAATGACCTCTCCCCTTCCACAAATTTTCTGCGGCAGCCACAAATGTTGAAAGAAATGGAGAAGACAAAAGAGATGATTTGAAAATGACTTGACAGCGACCTCCTAATCCACCTGAAATCACTTTGTCAACACCTAAAGAGCCTGATGTAGTTGACAAAGCCTTCCACCGAAAACTCTTCAGCCTGCCTCCATATTTGACCTCCAGTGATGTTTGGCCAAATTCAAGCCATTATCAACAAAACTGATGCTTCACTCATCTTAAAGAAAAACATAGTTTCTAGATAGTCAGGATAACAAGATAATCAGATGACAACTAGTGCCTCTTGTAATTTATCTCCAGTAAGAACTAAAATATTAACTTCATAGGCACTCAATACATGTATGGAAGTTCAGTTTGCATCCACTTGATACAAAGGTAAAAAAGTGTCTAAACCGTGCGATTTTTCATCCATATATGTTTCAGGATGAAGATAATTGTGAATCATTGTAAGGAGACATTATTCAATGTGAGCAAAACCATGCCAAACAAAACTAAATAAGATGTGCGAACCAAAATTGATCTTACTGTTCTAAGAAGAAGATGATCATGTGAAGTCTTATCATCCCAAACCATCAGCAGCACCCTCACCCCCTCCTGCGACTTGTACTTGAGCAACCCGCCCAAAGTCATATCCCCAGCATTCGGCAGCTCCCTCGTATGCTCCCTCACCAGCCTCACCTTATCATAAATCGACCACCCCACGATGTAGATAAGCTTATGCGCATCAAGAATCGCATGGCAAATGTCCTCCCAGCACTTCTCCTGCCTAAATGCTCTCCCATTCTCCAACTCAATCTCCTTCAGCTCCCCATCTCTCACATGCGCATCTTGGTACAATGTCACCTGTCCTCTACTCCTCTCACCAAAATAAGCCCTATCGACCCCCAACTTCTTGGCAACTCTTTCCAAAGGGAAAAATTGCATTTTGAAGAGAAGGGCCGACCCGGGCTTCGGGGGTTTCCCCGATCGGCCCATGATCGGGAACCAACCTTCAATCAGCTCTCCGGTGGCGATCCAGTGAACTGGGATTATCACCGTGCCGATGAGCTGGGTACCAAGAAAGTCATCGTCTTTGACTTGGAATTCGAGGTGAGACGCGCAGTGGGCGAGGGGGATGAGGAAATGCTGGTTCCACTCGGGGTTCTGGTCGTTGGGGACGACGATGGTGCCGGCGACGGTGGCGCCGGCGCCGGCGACGGAGAGGGTGACGTAGGGGTCGCTTGTGATGGGCTTGGGCTTGTGGAGGGCTTTGGACTGGGCCTCGGTGGATCTGGGGGCGGCGGTGAAGGAGGAGACGCCGCAGCAGGCGAAGCAGCGGCGGAGGTGCTCGTTGAAGAGGTCCATGTTGGGGAGGTCGCGGGCTTTGAGGATCCAAAGGTCGAGGTCGCCGTGGAGGAGGGTGGCGTCCATTGGAGAAATTTAGGGTTAGGATTAGGGATTGGGGGAGGAGAGAGAAAGCCATGGCAGATTGTATAGAGGAAGGAAGAATAGGTTCTTTGCTTTGATGGGAAGGGATTAGGATTGAGGTTTGTAAGGGTTAGGGTTTTAAAATTGGGGGAGCTGTAGCGGGTTTTAAACATTGCGCAGCGGAAAGGGAAAGAGCAGTGAGAAGGCCAACGGCCTTTTTCTTTTTTAGTTTTTTAGATTTCTCCTTGCTAATAATATTCGATTTACTTTATACACAAGAAGGACTCTTTTAGCCTTTATAGAATATATGTTTCTCAGTGTTTTTCTGGATAAATTTTTAAAATCTCCTATGGAGAACCTTTTTTTTTAACCTTTTTTAAAATTTTATTAACGAAATCGGCTATTGTTTGCTTAGCAAAATCGATCGCTTTTTGATAACGACATCACGACGGGTCAAAAAATGGTCGATTTTAAAAATAGAGACTTTAAAAAATATAAGACTACTGTCCCATGTAATTAGTGATCACTAATTAGATGTTAATCTTAATAATTAAGGGTTAATCTGAGCAGAGTAACCCTTAATTAGTAACAATTAATTACAGTACACTAATAGCTCATGTTTCGTAAAGTCTCTTTTACTCTCAGGTATACGTATCACATTATCAGAAAATATATACACACACACTTTGGAGAGTGTCAATGTGGTAGAGAAACTTTTTTGACTCTTTTACTCTCAGATGGCTCATTAATTTCACCGACGGGTAAAATCTGCCAAAATTTCACCTAGAGTAAAAGAGTCAAAATTTTCATCGAGCGAGTCTACCTACCAAAATCAAACTAGAGAGATAACAACTTCCACTATATACACACACAAAAAATAAATACATACATACATACTGAATTAAATTCATTTTTAAAATCTTACTACATAAAACATGAGCCAAGAGAGTGTCCCCACCAGAACCTCCTCCTCCAATGAGGAGCCGCAAGAGTCAGCACTATCCAGATGTCCCTCCCACGCGACTCCTATCGTTAACAACAATATCTCCCCACGCCACAATTAACCAAAAAGACCGAGCTCAAACCTGCAGGGTCTCAGCTGAAACTACTTTGGTCCTTGGTGTTGGTTTACTGAGAGAGAGCCATGGCCTCCACTGCCACCGCTGCCACCTGCGCCCTCACCTCTCCGGCGCGAGCAAGAGCTGCCGCGGTGCCGCATCGCGTCAGCCTGTCAGCTCTGCACACGCCGGCCAATGCGGGACCCACAAACCGAGCTCAGGCTCTCAGGCTCGCGAGCCTCGGAGGAGTACTACTACCGCTTCCTGTAAGCCTGCTCGACTGTTTTATTTTCTGCTTCTCTGTGAAAATCTATTGGTGGGGTTTCAAGGAAATAGCCAAAGAATACCAACGGATACTAATTAATTTAACTCTCATTCTGAATATAATCTCGGTTTCTAGTTTATTGTCCTTTTTTGATACAGTGATTTTTGAGCATGTGTTTGTAATTTCTACAGGTAAAACGCTTTCTGTTTTTGTCTGAATAAAGAATCTACGAATGCACACACGAAGTTGTATTTGTTTCGTGCTCTTTTTTTAAGCTATAATTAAAGTAGGAAATAAATAGCTTATGAATGAAGTAATTGAGAATTTTTTTTCGACGAAAAGTTCGAGACTTGATACCACAAGGGAATAGTGTGCTAACTAACTTTGGTATTCTTCAAATTAATAGTAGCATATGAATATATCCGGACAAATTTTCAAAACCAACCCCTTTCACTATTTATTTTCAAAAAACGACCGCTTTTGCAAAAAAAATTCAAAAACCGACCTGGTTTCAGCCCTGGAGCTGAAACCAGGTCGGTTTTTAAAAAATTTTATCTGAAACTTCACGGGAGTTGAACTCCCGTGAAGTTTAGTAAAACTGCTAAACTTCACGGGAGTTCAACTCCAGTGAAGTTTGTTGCGCGCAGCGAAAATTTCGGCAGCATTTCGGCAGCACAACAAGAGAGTCAGGTCGCAATAAGAATTCTTGTTTCTCAAAGGGAACAAGAATCTGAAGCCTAATATCCCATCAAAGTGGGATATTTGCTCTTCCTCTCGTCAGCTCTAGGACTGCGCGTCGAGGGAACCTAAAAGCTATTACAAATCACACAAATAGCAGTACAACTAATTTTTACGTGGTTCGGCAAATTGCCTACGTCCACGGGGCAAGGAAGGGGGGAGATCTACTAATAGAGGGAGAGAATACAACTAGGGTTTTCAACCACTCACAATCTAAACCCTCAAACAAACTCTCAAATCCCTCACAATATCTCTCTACAAAAGGATGCACAAAAACCTAGAGAGGGGGTGCTCAAACACAAGGAAACAAAACAAGACGGGGAATGTTCTCCTGCTGCGGTTTTTTTTTTTCTTTTCTTTGCTGCAGCCGCTAAAAACCTTGCTCTGCTCCCGCAACCAAATTTCCTTGCACACATCCCTAGGGCAAAATCATATAGCTATATATAGCCTGATGAAAACACATTCATGGGTCACCTGATGAAAATCACGTCCGTGGGCCTACAAAACTCAACCGCATCCAATTTCTTCACGCGCAAAAGAAACAAGCTCACGTGGGTGGCCCTCACATTCATACAAAGTTTAGCAGTTTTACTAAACTTTACGGGAGTTCAACTCCCGTGAAGTTTTCAAAGTTTTTTCACAAAAACCGACCTGGTTTCAGCGTCAATGCTGAAACCAGGTCGGTTTTTGCAGTTAAGTTTGAAAGGGGTTGTTTTCTGAGATTAAATTTCCAAATAGGTTGGTTTTGAAAATTTGTCCGGATATATCCTCCTCGGTGCAGTTCAATTTTTTTCTGGTTATGGTATCTGAGAATTACAAGTCTTAGTAGTTTTATGAATTATTATCTGAAGATAGATTTAATTGCTAATAATTAAAACATTCGCTGATTAGATCGCAAGACTGCACGAAATGTCGTTGCCATGGCAACAGGAGATGCACCAGCTGAAGTTGCTTCTGAGCTTCCAGAAATTGTGAAAACCGTACAAGATGCGGTATTTTCTTTCTTTATGTAATTATTTTTTTTCCCCTTGCTATTATAAGATATTAACGAAGAATATATTTGGTTAAATAGTGGGAGAAGGTTGAAGACAAATATGTTGTGACATCTCTTGGAGTTGCTGCAATTATTGCACTTTGGGGATCCACTGGAATGATATCGGTACTTACTATAACATTACCAATATCAGCGATAAATTAGAACTATATTTATCTTTTATTGATCTTATTTGGAACAGACTCATTTAGTTTCTTTTGTGCAGGCAATTGATAGGCTGCCATTGATTCCTGGTGTTCTTGAACTTGTAGGAATTGGATACACTGGTGTATGTACTGATTTATGACAGTAAACAATCCCAAATACTTATTGATCGATGAATACACGGACACCTATGTTAATTGATAGGCTCGCATGCTTTTATGCTTTGTATATCATCTACTGATGCATAAAGTTTATTCTCTTGTTTGTACAGTGGTTTGTATATCGGAACCTGGTTTTCGAGCCTGAAAGGTAAGCTCAAAATCGATCATCCTTCAATACGACATAATCTTCCATCTTCCCTTATAGAAATCTTATCAGCCGAGTCGATAAAACATCATATTGTCTACAAGAACACACTAACTTTTGTTTTCTCCCATGTACATTGATCTGTTCATAGTAGCTAATGAGCTTTTTTATGGCTTTCTCTTGTGAGCCCTTTCCTTTTGTGATGATTTTCTCCATGAATTTCACATTTATGTTTCCACCTTTTACGAACAACACAAATCTCTCTTATTCACTGTTTCTCATCTTCGTGAGATCGAAAAATGTCATATTAAATACTGTAATGTTTGAAATTGGAATCGTAACTTTCTTCCTCTTTTATCTGATACCAGGGAAGCTTTGATAGCTAAGATCAAGAGCACCTACGGTGAGATAATTGGAAGCAGCTAACTTTGAGGATTTCCTCTGTATCGGTTCAGATAAAGCTCAGTCTCATGCAAAGGGGAATTCACTCCTCAAGATTAGAAGCTTTGAATCTTTTCTTGTTCTTTAGACTGAAAACATGTTATAAAGCTTCTGACCTGGGCAAATGTATTCAGTCAACCAAGTTGCTCTCCTAGATATTATGTATTTTAATAAAAACCAATTGTGTATTTGAATAAAATTTCCTAGAATCAAATTCATCATTGACATCAATTTTTGTTGGGGGCACACTAATTAACTACTGATCTTCGTAGACCTCTATATGTTTATGTGACTGTAGAATGACATTATCAAAAATTGAATCATGCTAAACTTCACACATGATACTCCTGAAAAAATTTAGAGATTCTGACCATCTCACATCAATTATCACCAGAACCATCACTAAAGCCAGATCAAACCATTTGAGATCAAAGAGAAGTAAGCCAAAAAAACTATTTACTATTATGAACAGTGATATAATACACATGATTACTTTTTCAGTATTTACAAAATACCCGAAAGGGATTGAGAGTATTTACATGAATCTTTCCAAAGCAACTCTTTGGTTGCTTTGGAATGCGAGCGGCGAGGGACACCCAAAAAACATGGGTCCTTTCAATTAGCTTTTCAGAATTCTATTAGTTGTACTTGTCCAATCTGTTTGTCCTGGAGAATGTTAACACAATATTTACTATGAAGACATATTTACTTTCTCAAAGAGCCTTGTGGGAGTTTAACGTGTGATTCTGCAATTTGAGAATGTTTCAGATGAACTCTTAAATTGATGATGTATCTCTGAATACGTCGCTGGTCAGTAGAGGAGAGGGTAAATGGCGGGTTCAGAGAAAGAGAAGATGCTTCCACCAAGATAAATGTAAGCAAAGTAATTGCTTTTGAGTATGATGCTACTGCTCTGTTTCTGTGCCCCATAAGCTCTTCCACCTGCAGGAGAACAAGCAGATGAATCTATTAGGGAGAGGAAGAGAAGAAACCAATTTATGAAGGAATTAGGAAATATGGTGTGTCATTCATTATGGATGTTGTGAAGAAACAAATAAGGCCATGCTTGTGTTTATATACGAATCATTATCCTCACAAGCATTAGAAGCAACACAGAAGGAAGCAACCTCAACCAGTTGACAAATATGTATCAAATTTGGGTGAGTGCCAAATTTCCTGACAACGCAGCTATAGTCAGGAACAAAGCCTATGGATTTTTCAGGATCAAATAAGATCCAGGGAACACCTTTGTTTGTTATGTATTTTTGGATCACTTAATCCCTTGTGCCATTAGACCAGCATCTTTGTTTTGGCATGAGATATGATTAAGTGCATTTTAGGTAACCGAGGTACCCCATTTGTTCTGGCTCGTGTCATCGACTCACCGGGACTACCTGTGACCTTAGCTATGGCATGTTTAGTTCTAAAATTGTGTGAATATAGTATTGATACTTAGGTGAAACCATATTATGTGATCTGACATCCTGCCATTACGATTCAGAAATTATGATAATCTGATAACTGTAATGTGTGGCACAGCAAGGATGTAACTTCTGATATTTTGTTATTCAGATTCAAAATTCCATAGCTATCATTTATCATTATGTTTGCGTAAACGTTTGGCATATTCATATCAATTCATTTGTTTTGATCAACCAATATTTTGTTTAGCAGATAGTATACAGTATAAACTTAACATTAGGAATATAGTTCATTATCATATGCATTTCTTTTAGAACATATAATATTTGCTTCAATGAGCATATTCCTTGTTCAAAGAAATACATTCTTCTAATTATGTATATAAATATGTATCGGGAAGGCTTATTTGTTCCTAGGGCATAACTAGCTTCGTTATGCCCACCTTCAAAACTACATTATATACACTTAGTTTACTTGAGCCATTCCATTTATTTCGATCTATATGGTTTGGATGATATATAGACAAAATATTAGGCATATTGGGTTATGGTTACTCATGCATCAAGTGATTGTAAAATTTACAGTTTTATACAATACAACTAATGAGACAATGAAAAATATGTGTTAGAAGTATTGAAACAAATGTGTCAAATACAATAAGCTAGAGAGATCATGTTTATTTACTGAGTTGCGTAGCTCTCTCTATTTTTTTAAACATTTCAGATTCGGAATAGCATGGTGGTATGTGATTGTCGTGCGTGGAGAAGCTTGAGGTTTACTTCTTAGGCCCTGGATATAAGTTTGGATTTTGATAATTGTTTTGACCAGTATTGATTCATTAGTTTTGATATTAGACTCTGTTTTAGAATCATTTTGGCCTTAGAAATTTACCCATTGTTCATACATGTGTTTCAGCAAAAAATTTGCGCATGTATGAGAATTCGTCTCATACATTCTGCAGCTGTCATGTTATTGAGGTGTTACACTGTATAATGCTCACTTGCATGTTAAAGCAACATGGTCCAGTTAACTTCAGAAGGTTGTTATTGGTATCCATTCAGGTTGGTGGCAGTCAGACTACAGCAAACATCCAATTCAACGGCCACTACTTTGAAAAGAAGTAGGTGGTCTCAATAAAATAATTGTAAGCCAACATCAGGTAGGTTTGAAAAGAGGTAGGAGGTCTCAATAAAATAATTGTAAGCCAACATCAGGTAGGCGATAAAAATGATAACTTACAGCACCACCCTTCCCCAAAGATAAAGCGGTTTGAAATATGATCTCCATAGCATCTGGCATCTCCAAATTGCCTGGGACAAAAAAGAAAGTTCTATTTTCTGTGAACTTTGAATGAAACAAAACTATCAATAATATCGAAAGCAGAAACTTTATTCATCGGAGGCTAACCATCAATACCACAGAAACTATGAGATATCTTTTCTGCTCTGTCACAAGCAAGAATAAATCCACGCTCTAACCAAGAATAGACAGACAAAGGCCTGTTGAAGTCCAGACCCTCTGATAGGTTTTGAGGCAATCTATCATCCTTTTGCTGAGACAAGCAGTTGTTAGATGAGAAACTATTGAATGGATCTGCAACAGATGTGGAGGCCATCCACAAATTGCACACTTGAAGAGCTTCCTTCCATACTGCTAAAGCAACAAGTTCAACTGAAAACGAGTCCAGATGAAGTCCAGAATTAAGCTGTAATCATTAAACAATCATTCAGTGGGTTCATTCCTACAAGGACAAGTACCCAACAGATAGATAAAGCTAAAAGGTATCCAACTGGTAGTAATTAGATAAGTTTTTGTATTTGGATAAAAACCACATGTAGTAAGATGTTGTCAATCAAAATTCATCATGGAAAAAGTAACATTAACATCCATATGAATGGCCTAACGTAAGATGTAGCATAAAAAAGAAAATTTCATGTCCGAAAAGGTTACTTTCACTACAATAGCCTTAAAAACCAACTACAAACATAATTTTGAAGACTAATTAAAAAACCAACTGCAAAAGACAACTCTGAATAATCTAAAAGAAAAGTAATAATGGGTTAGTAAAAGTAGTAGATGATACGAATGATATAGGAAAAGGGAAATAGGCATGTAAACCGAGGAGGTGATGAAACAACGCTTCGTCGACTTTATGTCAGCAAATAGTGCATTAAAGTGACTTGCAAAGCTAAGCTCCTTTTTTTTAAAGTTCCTTAATCTTTTATCTTCCTAGCATCCTAAAATATAACACTGCATAGTTTTTCTCACTGCTCTTTATCTAATCTATGCCTCTTTTGACGCTACTTTGGATAAGTTTGTTTCATTTTCTATTAGCATACATACACCACAAATAGGATTCCAAGAATACTAAAGATGAAATTTCCCGGGAAATTCAATGAATTGGTGGGAAAATCCAAAAGGAGAGAAAATATCTCTAGAAGGATATCTTGATGGGCATTTTGCTAGAGATAAAAATTGGTGCCAAAGAATGATATGAGAGATTAATAGATGCTGAGCAATTTGAATAATACTTTTGCCTGTGCGACTTCTGCGAGAATGTAAAGATATGAATATAAAAACTTGAGCCTGCTGGAAGGATTCAGTGATAAAGGTCCTGCTACATCTACTGATGCAGTTGATGTTTGTGACACTATTGAAGCAGAATTCTGGCTTCCCACACTTTCAGCACCACAGACAGCACTGCTGACTAGCTTGCTGCTTTCCATGAGGCTAGCTGTAGAATTGTCTCTCAAAGATGCCTCAAAGAATAAAGATGAAGTCTCCATGGAAGCAAAATGCGATCGGACAAGAACATATTCTCTTTCAATAGACTCGAATGAGTCGGAAACTAGAAGAAAAAAGTAATAATTAATTCAAAGATGGGCTTAAAATAAATGGCACAAAGATAAAGTATGTGCTTACTGACTTGTTGAAGTAGCCGGCAAAAGTCCTTGTTCTGTGTCTTCCTTCTTCATACTCTGTGCATTTGCTGAGTTTAATGACTCACCAGATAATTTTCCTACTTTATAATTTGTGGTATTTTGTGTACACTCAGCAGCACTTCCGCTTGGACTGGTTGGGAAGGAAAAGAAATTGAGATGTGAAAATCATTTTACATTAACAATAATTATAAAGTGTTAGAGATGGAATCAAAGTTGAAAGTCTGCCTATGCCTAGGACAGTGAGTGGGAAAACAAAATTCACAAGATTTAAGTTATCTGGTGCCAATGCCATCTTGCTGAACTCGGCATTTTACCATAAGCTTGATAGATTGTCAGCTTGAGAAACCAGATAAACTTGATATATTGCATATCAGGTAAATGGTACCAATTTGAAAGAAGTACAAGAACATGAACTCAACCTCAACATGGTCATGAACTTATGATTGAAGAACTCTTCAAATGTTAGTCGCTCCACTGGAAGAAGGGGAAAGAACAAAATAATTAGCACTCCGCAACATATATCCTAAACTTCGCTGAACATCAAATTTGAATATCAAAGTCTAAAATCAATATTACAATGTGAGCTGTGCGTACAAGAAGTAAAAGTTAAATTCATGGAAGTATTAGACATCTTTAGAACTAACAGTTTTAGGCAGAAAAAACAAAAAATAAAATAAAACAGCATCCCTATATGTCTACAAAGAACGAACAATGGAGTGGTAACAACAAAACCGAGAAACAAACAAACTGATCAAAGCACAAGCACAAATAATATTGAGAAAACAAAGACGACTACATGAAGATTCGTACCTTTGACTTGCATCAATAGGTGAAGGAAGAGCAGAGATAGTAAACATAATTGTCGAAATACAATGCTGGAATATCTCTCGCAATCCCCAAATGTGCAAACCTCTCATAAGTTAAATTTCTTATAACAATTGCCTCACATCACATAATATTGCTACACACCTAAGTATACATGTGGGAAATTAAAAGAAAGGGCAGCTCTGCAATTATGCCGTTGAAATATAGGACAGCAATTATTCCCAAAAAACAAATAAGAAAAGTTCAGATCCTATCTCGAATGATCAACTCAAGTCTTACTGGAACATACTATATGATCAAAAGTATCAAGGGTTGAACTATTTTATAAACAAAGAAGGATCACAAACACGCTACCACTCAGTGAATACTGTAACATGAGTGGGTCCTTAATCATATCCAATCTAACAACCAAATCCAAAGAACCCTCATAAAGATCTCTTAAAGACCCACAGTATGCACTTCCAAGGGAAACTAGCTAAACTCTCAGTAATTTACTCATGAGATTACAAAGTAACACCATTGGTTATATTGCATGAATAATTATCCACTTATCGATACTAAAAGTTAAATACTACCAGCCTACAGGTCAATCTCATTGCATATATAACCCTAGTTTTGTGCCGAATTAAAGAATGATCGTAGCTCATCCAGGTGGATTAACAACATTTTAGATTCTGACTAAATGCCAGATCATGTGCATTAGACAGAATAACTACCACTGGCTTCAGAAAATAAAAGATAATGGAGATTTAAAAATGGCAGTTGAGGTAAAAAACAAAACATAACCTGGGTTTTGACGAAGAAGGCGTTTACAGAGATCGATGCAATCAGGGTGTAAGGTTGCCATAACATCATGTGGAAATTGCAATTCATCTGATGCCAATACATTCTGAAAAAGCTGATAAAAATGAAAAGCAAAAGAGGTAAATTGCAAAGTATAAATCATAATTCACATGGCTAGCTAAAATATGAAATATAACGGATCTAATAAATTATAGAGAAAAAACCTGAAATTGAGTATTTCCATCAAAAGGTGGCTTTCCTGTGACAAGCTGAAACAGAATAGCTCCAACACTCCAGAGATCAGCCTGCAAGTATAAACTAGTAAATTGGAGAGTATGACCAATTTTGGACAATTGAGCATAAACAAGTTGAAAAAGCAAGGCTTCCACGAGCACCTTGGCATCATATTTTTTGTTTTGAATGATTTCTGGAGCCATATACAATGGGGAACCGCATAGCGTATCAGCTAATCCTTGAGGCATGAGATACCTGGCATAAACCAAAAAAGGTTAGTAATGGCGATGTATTATTATTATATGATGAAATGTGAGAAAAGAAATGAGCCAATTATGGATTAATCCAGCTTCAAATAACTCAACAGCTAGTTCTAGAACAATGCTGAGAGTTCCACAGTTATTTCTTTTACTAAAAGTACATAGTTCCGTCGTTCTTGTGGCTGAAACATAAGCATCCATTATCACAGGGTGATCAAGGACAAAGGAAAAGGATAAAAAATTATCTCACACCCACAAAGGATAAGAAAATAGATGGTTAGATGGCTAAAAATGTTTGAAGCTGAAGATCCCAATAACTTTCACCCTGTATGGCATATCAATTTCAAGCAAGGCAGCAGTGCCCTCCATATGATGTGGAACTACTAAGAAAGATGAATGGCAGTGCCGTTCATACCTTTGCCCACTTGCTGCTTTTAAAACTGGTTATAAGTGCCAATTATTAACGAACAGATGATCAAATGAAGCTATGGAATATGAAAATCTGTATTTCAACTCGCTTAATATACAAGGCACTACACAGCCATTGAACTTGTTAACATAAGTAATATATTTATGTACAAAACAAATCTATATTTATGAATGATGTTTTGCAACTACTATAACTCAAATATTTTTTGACATGAAAGTTCTTGAGATGCTAAAAGAAATATAGGTATAATTAAACAGTTAGGTACACAAACAGCTAGTATTTGTACTAATCTGCTATAAGAATTCAGATCAAAGCTTTACCTGGCAAATCCAAAATCCCCGATCTTCAACACAGGAGTTTCATCTTTAGTACACAGTAGAAGATTCTGCATATTCCAGTACACTATGGTTAAAAAAGATAATTTTATGAACCAAGAATATTCCGTCCATGATATCACTGGAGTTTTAGTTCAAAGAGAGAGTATAACACAACCAAATATCTCGCCAAAGGTAAGAGCAAGTTCTAGCATATATGAATTTCTTCTCTTAGTATGACTTTTCACTAAGGACCTGTTTGTTTGCACGGAAGTAATTGTGAAGTAGCTGAAGTAAAAGAAGTAAAAGCTACTTCTGCTACTTCCAAGCAAAAAAATTTGTTTGGTTCTCTGAAAAACTTACTTCCAATACTTCCCTAAATGCTTATGTGGCGCCTACGTGTCATCCTTATTTCCAAAATATTTTTCCAATCCTCAATACTCAGAAGTAGTTCGGAAGTAGTTGAAATGCATATTAATTAGGACATAAATAATTTTTTTATTAATATTTCCTTTATTAGTTACTTCTAACAACTTTTCATTGATAAAATTACTTCCTAGTAATATTTCCAAATGTTATCCAAACAAATAAAATTACTTCCTAGTAATATTTCCAAATGTTATCCAAACAAAAAAAGTAAATGAAGAGGAAGAAGTTCGACTTCTATTACTTTTAAAAATATATGAAACAAACAAGAAAAATATTATTTCCACTATTTCCTACTTCATAGCTTTAAAAGTTACTTCTATAACCTACTTCTTACTTCTAATACTTTCATTATCCAAACGAGCCCTAAACCACTGGAAAGCATGTATTCCTAAATCACACAACCCGAACAAAAATTCTAGATGTTATTATTAACATTTATATGCCAATGCTTTTAGTAGGAATCCTGAAACAGGGCACCAAAAGAATGTCGTTACTGGAAATGCGGTGGGGGAGGAGAAGGCAACTTAGAATATCGCAAATTTGCAATCCTAAAGTTTGGACATAAATAGAGCCATAGAGGTTTTACTAAGCTGTTGTGAAAACCTCAAAAGACCTCATCAAAGACCTGATTTAGCCAAAAAAAATATTTTAATGCTTTTATTTGGCTTAAAGCCGTAGTATAATTTGTGTCACCTCTAATACACACACCAAATTATTCACCACCCAGTAGACATTTTCTTTATCTAAATTTTGTTGAATGACTTGAGTTTGAGACCTGTCTGTCATCTCAGAGACTTCCAAACCTTCATAGGATACCTTAAAAATTTCCTAAATTTCACTCTTCCACCAATACAGATAAATAAATAAAAAGAAATTTTGTTTAATGTGCTAAATCATTAAATCATTTTACATAATAAAAATGTAATTTACCTGCGGTTTCAAGTCCCGGTGAATAAGATTATTCTCCCTCAGCACTTGTAACCCTGACGCTGCATAAAGTGCACCAAATTTTATATCCATTACTCCAACTTTCTAACTAAAAATAGAAAAACACTATTGAATGGGACGGTACCAAGCTGTGTCATAAAATGCCTGGCAACGCTCTCAGACACCTTCCCATGACGATGAATATAAACACCAAGATCCCCTCCAGGACAATACTCCAAAATCAAGTATATCTTATCTTCTGTCTACTCATTAAAAAATAATAATAATTTTAAACCTGGCCAAAAATCAAATATTTTAAAAGAGGTTTTTTTAAGTTAAAACTCATTCTTTTACCCTGGAGGCCTGAAGTATTTAAACCCATTCGCTTCCAAGGTCATTCTTACACCCAATACACCCCAAATAATTTACTTTTAAACCCATATTCAATATTTGCCCCCGTATCATTGCACTTTCACTAATATTATAGCATTTTACCATACTTCATAGCATATAAACAAGATTTTTGGGTTTAAAAGTAAGTTACCTTGGGTGCTTGCGATGTATTAACAGTTTACAGGTGCGTGGATTTAATAATCAATCAAGGTACGATTTGAAGCTCCATATTTTCTCTCCAAATAAATTATAAATCAATCTCAAATGACGGGTTTAAATAAAAAAGCCAATAAAGCAGGAAATTGGGAACCTGAATTGCTTGATGAAGCCTAACGATGTTATGAGGTATAATATTAGTTAATAAAGCACTATATTAAAGGGGCCAACTATCGAATCTGGGTTTAAAAATAAATCAGAACAAAACAAAGTGGTTTAATTTTTATTTTTTTTTAACAAAAAATAAAAATCAACGAACCTGAATCGCTTGATGAAGCCTAACGATATTAGGATGAGAAACTTGACGAAGGATAGCGATCTCCTTCAAAAGACTCTCCTTTACTTTACTACTTAATCTCCTCTTATCGATCTCTTTCACGGCGACCTCGGCCCCACTCAGGCGATGGCGGCCCTTCAACACAACGGAGAAGGAGCCGAACCCCACCTTCTGTGGGCCCACGATGTAGTCTCCGACTACGTGGGGGCCAATTTCCTCCGTCGCCATTGAAATCTCGAGAGAAGTTGGAGCTCAATTTCGGGGAATTTGGGGATTTTTGAAACCCTGGGTTCTTAAACCTCTGGAGTGTTAAATAGGAGGAGAGCGGGTTTGTAGTGGTTCGGATCTTCGGCGGGTCGGATCGGGTTTTGGCTGATTATCCACTTTGGGAAGTCAAGTCAATTTGGACGCTTGAGGTGCACGCAACCTACCAAGAAAAGGATTGCAAATAGGGCGATCGGAAGGGGGTGCTAAACCGTATCCGTATCCGAGAAAATATCCGTAATTGTATCCGTTAGGATACGAATATGGTTAGTCAAATCTATAACCGATAGTATATGGTTACAGATATGGTTTTGTAGTGAAATATCTGTATCCGTATCTGAAATATCCGAATACATATTAGTCGTACTCTTACGACAGTTTCGATTCTTAGATTATGGATTTGTGGTTAATTTTGATTATCAAGATGTCTAATCTTAACTTTTCAATTATAATTGACATATTAACAAACTCTTTGTATCACATGAACTATGTTTTTCTCAATACTATCTAGTTTTCTCATATCTGTTTTGTATCTGCATGCATATCCGGTTATATATATGCATGTATATCCGCAACCGTATCTGATTTTAGCGGATGTGGTTATAAAGTTTTCTTACCGAAGTATATCCGTATATGTATCCGTATCCGAGATGGGTAAGCGAATATGAATATGATAAGCATCATAGAGCCGTAGCCGGACCGAATGCACCCCTAATCATGCCTCGTGTGCAACTCTCACATGCTCGCACACGGGATATTATGAGGAGAGGTGTAGTGGATTGAATAGATCTAACAAAGTTAATATTTGTATGCGTTTAAAATTTTTGAACTAGAATATCAATTTGAATATTTTACTCTCTAACCATTTAAAAAAACAAAATACTACTCTCTAAATTTATTTAAATTTGAATTTAAATGTAAATATTTTTTTAATATTCACGAATATTTATCGATTATTAGAATGCATTTATTTGATTAACAATTTATAATTAATAAAGTATACTGCCATGTAATTAAAATATACATTTACCTATACATAATTAAAATATACATTTACCTATACTCTAATAAGAGAAGACCTCATTTTGGTTTGTGTGTCAATTTTTATTTTAAAAATGCACTTGCACTTTGAAAAATCAAATGAAACCCTCAAATTTGCAATTAAAAAATAAAAAATAAAAAATGATAAACTCTAATGCTTGAAAAAATCAACATAAATCCTCTCGTCTATGTTACTAATAAAAATTCAAATATATTTGACAACATAGACCTCTATTCAATAGATGCCATGATTTACAAAAATACAATTCATTTAAATCTATAAGTGTACTATAGTGAAATAAAATTTTAAATTACTCTAATAATGTTCATTTAGTTAAACACAAATACTCATTAATTAAACCTAATTTTCATCCTAATTACTTCTAAGCAAATATTCAAAAATATGAAAACTCGCCGCGGACAATTGTAAAATGTCATCTACTTTTTATCTTAGTGGATTTATACTTATTTTATTTTATTGAAATACTAGTATTTTAGCTAGCGTGGTCTTATCGCAATTCATCTATAGTTTGTCGTATTTTAATTACTCGAATCTGAATATAATTTTAAAGATCTAATAACTCAACCCCTTCGAATCAGGTGAATCGTACCCTCCCTCACACCCATTGAGGTTAGAGAACATGTCCCCATCTGGAAATAATAATTATTAAACAACTTATGGAAAGCTATAATTAAAATTAAGATAATTTAAACTAACTTTATTATAATAAATTAATAAAATGAATACAATCAAAATATATCTAAATACATCTTGGATGAAATTAAAATATAAGACGATTTAATGTTCAAAAAAACATCATTCGTAAATGATATATTACCAAAAAAAAGTTCAATCAATCATTCAATCATACGATGTAATGAGCAAAATATTAAGAAAAGCTCTCATGATTTTTTATTATTATTTCTTCATATTAATCATCTTCTTCATGGTTGAAAGAGCTAGTTCTTTGCCCATTTCTGCGAAAAAAAAAACATGTTTATCTAGTAAATTTAATATTAAAAGTTATATATTAAAATTAATTAATGTATAAATAAGTCAAGTTGATTGTATGCTTGTTTTTGCACTTGTTATAGGTGAGGTTTTGGATGCAGAAGAGTCAAGTGTAGCAATAGATGATACATCTAAAAAACAATTTGGCTTTGCTATTAGTGGTGGATATTAGTATGAATAAATGTAGATTTAATTCAATAGATTGATTATCAATGATGACATTCTGATTCAATTCAATTGGTTTCTCATTTTATGATGGTTGTACATTTATCTTAGAATAACATGAACATGATTTAAAATTTGAAATAATTAAACTAATATTAATTTCAACAAAAAATATTCTTCTTAGAATTTTTGTCAGGAGCATTTCGATAAGTCTAGAGTATATTCAATTATTTGACTGTCAACACCATCAACAAGCGTCATATCGAATGAATTTTCATCATTTGATAAAAAATAATAATATTAGCACAATGAATACATTAAATAAACTTATGGAATATAATGTTATTAATAAATTTATCAAAAGCTTACATTTCCATTGGTTAGCAGTAACAGCTCATTCAGTTTTTCATTGTCCATATCATCATTAATGATTTTAATCACTGTGTAATCTTTAATGCATTTATTCGTGTTAAACCACGAAAATGAATATTTCTACTGATTAACCTCTTCATAGCAAGTGGAATCTCCTTGTTTTATGCATCCCGTTTAAACAAAGATAAAAGAAAATTTTAATTTCATCTTATTTGAAGTAACAATCTTTAAGTTTAAGAAAATATGAATTTTTTTTATTAATTTTCTCGACCGTAATACATCATTCTTATGGCAATAATCATGTACACAAGTATTCTATTAAAAATTAAATAAAACATGTCATAGTTAAAGTCAATTTGTATTATTTAAAACCATAATCATCAGTGTTTATAAATTTTCAATGTGCCTCCTTATCAAGGAGAATAAAGTTAATTCCAAATTAGATTTAAGTATTTGAGTTTTGTCCTTTCCATATTCAAGTGATTCGTCCTTTGAAGATGATATCATTTTCATCCATTCCAAACTCATTTAATGGTGCATATGCTGCAATTTTATTATTTTGTCATGTCATCCTAATAAAATATCCCAAAAAATCATTTAATATGAATATAACTTTAAATCATATGGAGAATCAGAATTTTAAAAAATTGACCATAATTAATAAAACATTTTAATATAATTTTATAAAATTATATCAATTATTAATAAGTAGATAGTCACTCAAATTATAAAAATTCTATATCAATAATTGTTTTTTTTTTCTAGATTACCAATTGATAAATGATAATAAAAAATAACAAATAATTAATAATATTGCCTAAACTTAGCTTAATTTATACAAAGATATTATCTGCAATTATGATAATTGCAAATATATAATCAAATTATTACACATTGAAAAAATGTTATCTAAGCAAATCATGATTACCTTCAAAATTGTTTACATACAATATACATGTTTTCGGTTAATACAGTTTCCAATCAATATAAGATTCATTTAATATAATATAATATAATTTTATTAAAATATGGTTTAAATACTAATTTTAACATTTGGAAAGTATAAAATTATTATTGACTTAATTTAGTTACTTAATTAAGTAATAAATGTTACTTAATTTAAGTAATAGGTAGATGTTACTATATATTTTTTTAATATATTATTATATAACTAAACATATGTTAAAATTAAGTAACTTAGATTTAAACCTCTTAAATTCAGTTATATAATAAAACATTGAAAAAATAAAACAAATAAATAATTAATAAATTATTAACTAAATAGTTAATTTAGTTAATTTTAATTTCATAAGAATAATTTAAATAAATAAATAAATAAATATAAATATAATAAACCTACAAAAAAATATTTATTTAAATACTATAAATTATATTTTCATGAAATATTAAATAAATCCATAAATAAGTAATAAATAACATAATTTCATTTTCATATATCATTAAATAATGAAATCATTATGAAGGTAATAATCATTAAATACACCAAATTATTTGGGTAAATTTTTTAATTTTTTTAGAAATATGTAAAAATGGGAATTAAATTTTTACAGTTATATTAAAATGAAAAATTCTAATTAAATTTTCAAATTTCGAAAATAAATTATTTTGGTTACAAATTCAAAAATTAAGATTATTTTAATTATAGAGATATTTTAGTTAGCTGAAAATATATTTTCACAACAATCTAAAAGGAATAAAATCTAAATTAAACTTTGAAAATAGGAAAATAAAATTTTCCAACTAAATTAAATTGTAAAATTCAAATTAAAATTTGTAAATTCGGTAACTAAATTTTTTTGGTAAACATTATAATTTCAGAATTATTTAAAAAATATTAATTAATTTTCATAATTATGAACATGATCTAAATTAGGTAGTTAAATTAAACTATAATTGGCTATTTAAATTGGTGAATTGTAATTTGTTAAAATTAAATTGGTAATTTAAAATTAAATACAATTTTAGTATTATTTTAGAAATATTTTGAAATTAAGATAATTTGAAATAATTTGAAAGATTGTAAATATAAACTAAATTAGATAGTTAAATTAAAGTAAGATTTCGTTTAGTTAAATTAAAGTAAAATTTGGTTACTTGAAATTTACTAAAATTTTGATATAATCTAAGGGGCTGTTTGGTTGCACATTTTTTGAGAAAACTTTTCTTAAAACATCTGACAATGGCAAATTTGTAATTAAAAGTTTTCCAGAGATTTCTGTAAATTGTGTTTGGTTCAACAAAAAAATTACAGAAATATTTTCTATAAAATATCAAAACCTACAAAATTTTACAAAAAATAATTTCCTCTCAAAATGAGAGGAAATCACCAGAAATCTAACACATACCATATTTAATTAAAAACCTACCAAATCTTGTTATTTTCTATAAAGTTATAAGCTATTTTCTTGTTTTGAACCAAAC